AGCCAGAATCCTGGACTTTGCACAAATATTGATTCACCTCCTTCTCCTGATACGCCGTGTTCCCGGTCTGAACAATGCAGAGACCAAGGCCCCGAGAGCCCAGAGCTGCCCGGTGAGGATGGAGGATGAGGATCGGAACCTGGCTCCTCTGTCTCCCCACCCATGGCCTTTTCAGCTCCCTCCCCAAAGATGTCAGCTTGCTGGCCCCCTTCTGTCCTGTTTGCCTCCCCAAACTAGCACCCAATTCACCGTCTCAAGCCCCGTCGCCCTTTTACTCCAATCAAAGCCCTGGAAGCGCAGGCCTAGGGGACGCACGGTTCCAGGAGACTCACAGCCTAAAGGGCTATAAACATCTACATCCTTCGGTCCCTCCCACAGTTGCCCAAACGTGTTAGATGTTGTCTAATAAAAGCAGCCACTGTAACTGTCATAGCCACATTTCTTGCTTGTGCTGTTCTAGGCTCTATGCTAGCCTCTCCTTTTGATATAATACTCTTTGCCATTCATGGCACTATTTTACATCGCACCAGACATTGTATAATGCAAACCTGGCCGAGCTGTGGGCTCCGATCACAGAACCCGCCCCACCAGAGGCAGCTGACAGGCCATTAGTCTGTGTCCTGCAAACTCTGCAGTGATAAGGAAACTCCACCAATGTGATGCTTTATCTGGGTGCAGGTTGAGGAAGGATATTATTTCAATCAAGATAATGATTCTATTTCTTGAACGGAAATGAGATTTTTTTTTTCATTGCCTCATGGGGGTGCCACCAAAATCTGTCTCAGGGCTGGAACAGGTCACACACAAGTTAGAGATTTTCTTGCAACCCTTGAGAGAGAACATAAATGTGAAGGAGAACGGAGAGAAGGGAGTTTATTTGCAAGAGAAAAACATACACATTAGGCCTATAAGATTACAAAATAAGTTCAACCTGGACATTTACAGGCATTAGACAAAAGCTTCAAGACTAAAATTCAGAAGATAAGTGCATGATGTGAGCCAGATAGCCTGGAATTCAAGCGAGGTAGACAGCCTATAAAGACAAAGATGATAGCAAAAGTGCACAGACTAGACTCAGCAATGACAGGATGGTAGAAGTCTCCTAAGCCTGCCTGTTGTGTAGCTGACCTAGCTATTATTTCAACACCTCCTACCACAGGGAGCTCACCAAGGAGCCCATTCCACCACCGACCAGATCCTATGTTGAGAAAGTACCTCCACATTATAGTGAAGTCATCTCATCAAAGGAAACCACAGTGAAATTCACAAGGTGCTGACAATGTAGGAGATCTCAATATGCTTTGGAAAGAGAATGCACGTTTCAGTAAGTCATTAAACCGTATGCAAATGACGTCAGATGATAAATGTAGGGAGACCTCTATAATTTGCACTAAACAGCGAATTTAGTGAAATTTTAAATTATTTTAAATAATTTAAATTTGTAAGAGGCCGGGCGCAGTGGCTCACACCTATGAGGCCGAGGCAGGAGGATTGCTTGAGCTCAGGAGTTCGAGACCAGCCTGAGCAAGAGTGAGACCCTGTCTCTACTATAAATAGAAAGAAATTAGCCAAACAACTAAAAATAGAAAAAATTAGCCTGGCATGGTGGAACATGTCTGTAGTCCCAGCTACCAGGGAGGCTGAAGCAGGAGGATCGCTTGAGGCCAGGAATTTGAGGTTGCTGTGAGCCAGGCTGATGCCACGGCATTCTAGCCTGGGTGACAGAGCAAGACTCTGTCTCAAAAAAAATAAAAAAGAAAAAAAAGAAAGAAGAAAAAAATAAAATAAATATTTGAGAATTCCAAGGGCTATAATATAGTATCTCAAACTATGTGTGATTTGCTTTAAATAATAATAATAATTATTTGCAGCCAGGTGTGGTGGTACACACCTGTAGTCCCAGCTACTCGGGAGGCTGAGGCAGGAGGATCACTTGAGCCCAGGAGTTCAAGGTTGCTATGAGCTATGATCACACTGCACTCCAGTCTGGCTGACAGAGCAAGACTCTGTTTCTAAAATAATAATAATAATTATTATTATTTGCAATTGGAAACAATAATTTGCAATTCTTATATCAATTGTTTACATAGTAACTCTAAGGAGCTTGGAAACATTTATAAAGTAAGTTTTTATGCATTTTAAACATTCCTCCCAGAGCTGACTTGTGCTATGAATTGCTCTCTCTCCAAAACAAAGGCATATTTCAGCTCAACCCCTTCTGGAAGAGTCCCAACTTCTGACTCTGGAGGCCTGAGAAGGTGGTTTCTTTCTGTACTGCATCAGATTCACCAAAGCTTTGCAATCTAAACCACGCGGTTGTTGGTGTGCATAGACTATCGCTGGAAAGTAATGCAAAACTCTGTCAGCATTGCTTGTCTAGGACAGGAGCCTGCTTTGGACCAGAGGTGGGGAGGAGAGAATTTTTATAGTATGCCTTTTGGTACTTTTGAACTTACGGCCATGAGATTGTATTACCTATTAAGAATAAAATTTCAGTTAACAAAGCACATGTTGTTTTCAGTAAAACGGACTTTAGCAATATTGATTTCCGTATTAATACCTATACTATTAAAATGAAAACTTACTGCAGCGAAAATTACTGCCAGGTCAGGTGAGAATGACATTTGGCTATCATCACAATAGTGGTGCTCACAGGCATGACAATAAATGCAACTGAGGCCCTGCTGAGGTCCTTTGTCCCTGCTGGGGCACCCACTCCCCCGCTGCTGGAAGTGTGGCACCCAGCTTTCACCCGGGACATTCTCTGGTCCCTCGCTCTTGGTTGAGGTGATGCTCTAGAGGGTGCATCACCAGCGACACTCTGTGGGTGGCTGATGACAAGTGAGGGACACCCAAGCCCTGCCCCTTGCCTCCAAACGAGACATCACTGCAGTGCAATGGATGTGGACCAAGCCCAGCAGAGACCTGCCCTGAGACCACATCCTCACTCGGCTCCCCCTTCTCCAATCTCTCCCTGCAAGCATCTCCTAACGAGCTCTCCCTGGGTGCATCGTCACGTCATGCACTTGAAACCCTGTCTCAGCCTCTGCTTCTGGGGAACCCAACTCAGGTTAGTCGCCAATGGCTCCAAAGGAAGCCCTCCAGCATCTTTGCAGAGGGCTGTCCCTGGTGTCAGAAGCACACACAAGCCTTCCTCTTTGAGTGCAGAGCCATTGCCAAAGACCACCTGTCTGACACTGCACAGCCCATGAAAGCCAGCAACAACAACACGCTGACACCCGGAGAGGATTCTGACAACCAGACCTCATGGGAAGCACGACAATTACTCTTCTACCCCAGGATGATAAGCAGGAGACAGGGGCCAACTCAGAAGGCCTGTTCCATAGTCAGAGAGCTATCCAGTCACGTGCAGCAGAGAGCACCAATGTCTTGGGCAGTGCTACAGCTTATAAGCTGAGTGAACTAGAGCAAACATTTAATGACTATGAGCCTCAGTTTCCTCACCTGCAAAGTGGGAATACCCGACAGAGCCTAAAGCTCCTAAGAGGCAATACCATCAAGTGCTGCAAACTGGCAAAGCTATGTGAATACTGGTGGTTGTTACTGAGCTTTAGAACTAGCAAGCTTCCCCTGCTTGCTGGGAACAAGTAATAAATTAACCTTTCTTAAATAAATAAATCCCAGCTGCCCCTCATCCTGGGCACAGTCCCTACCTACAGCTCCCTGTGTGACAAGTGGCTCTGGGGAAAAGCAAGTGGACAACTGAGAGCACTATCTTGGTGACTGTCTACCTGGAGCTCTGGATGTGGCCCCACCACTGGCCTCCCAGGGCTTTGATGGCACTCAGCTGTCGCTGTCTGGAAAGGTGTGTGTGTGTGTGTGTGTGTGTGTCTGAGACATACGGAAGTGTGTGTGTGTGTGTGTGTGTGTGCGTGTGTGTGTCTGAGACATACGGAAGTGTGTGTGTGTGTGTGTGTGTGTGTGTGTGTGTGTGTGTGTGTCTGAGACATACGGAAGGTCCCCAATGTGGACTTCCTGTAGTCTATCTAGTTTATATACTGATCTCAAACACAACTTCAAGTTCGGTGAAAAATCCACGCAGCCACTTTCACGTGATGGAGTAACAGACAAACTGGCAGAAACTTGATTTTATTTACATGGATGAGGGATGCTTTATTCCATCCTGGTTCTTTGCATCTGGACCATTCAGGAAGCCATGCCAAGCCTTTCAGCACCTGGCCCTGCCCAAACTCACCAGCGACTCCTCCTCTCCCCCGCCAGACCTGTGCCTACGCCCCCCTCCACGCAGGCCTCTGCCCCTGTCTCTCCCTCCTTCCAGAGCCTCCTTCCTCCGTCAGCTCGGTGCAAGCCTCTCCTCCTCCAGGAAGTCTTACCTAAACACTCCCCATCACCAGCATTTCTGCCCGTGCCATGCGAGCCAGAGCTGACCACACACCCTTTCATAAAGCTCTTTGATTGCCTCATGTGCCGGTTTTTCTCGTCCCACATAAGACTGAAAGCTCCTCCAAAATAGAGCCCAGGCCGACTGCTTCTCATGGATTTCTCAGTGCCTCCAGGTAATGCCAGGCGCCTGGTATATTCTCGGATTGATTAATGGATTGGTACGTATGATTGCTCTTAGTTTAACATGCTGTTAAATGGCCTATATGAGAATTTGCTGTTCTAAATAGTGTCAACCTAGCAGCAAACTTGAAATTGCACAAACTGTTGCCCCAGGGTGAAAAAATGCACATCTCCCTTTTCCTGGGAGGAGTTCTGCTCTCCGGGCACACCAATCAACCAGTTAAGGGAGTGACTGTCTTCTGCACTTAGAAGGCAGAGCCAGGGTTCAAACCATCCTCCTTCAACCTTATGCCTTCCCCTCGTGGGTCCGGCCACACCATCGAGAGGTAGCTTCCAGAAGAAGAACCAAAACCAGATTCCATCCAGGTCATGCCCCTTCCCCTAACAGGGAAACCTACTCACTTCCCAGGAACACTGTTAAGCCACAGGACTGAAAAAGCAAAATTCATACTCACAAGCACGGACGCCTTAGTCTTAAATTTCAGGCCACCAGTTTTTCTGCCAACCTGCTCATTTCCTGCAAAGAGAAGAAAGGGAGGGAGAATCACATTAGCATCTGCTCTGGGTATCCTTTGGCAGTTTCCTGGCTGACCTAGGGCTTCTGCATTTTCTCTGCATTCTCACTCCCAGAGGCATCTCCCCTCCCCATGTGCTAGCTGGGTAGGTGCCCCTCACTCCTCACAGGATCACACCCCTCCAGGCCCGTGGGCTCGGCCCACGCTGCCTCCCTCCCCTCCCCGGCGTCGTGCCAGTCTCGGATTGACCACTGCCTCCAATTCCCTGAAGGCGCTCCGGCTTCTTCCCACTCGGAGTGGGGCCTCCACTTCTGTAGCATGGGGTTGCCTAGCAACCCTGCGCGCGCGGCTCGGAAGGCCCTCCTAAATTGGACCTCACAGCACAGGGCATCTCCTTGTACAGCTGCCTGCATCTTAACAATCTGGCTCTGAATAATAACACAACGGTAATTGCATTCATGGACCCCAAACTACATTTAAATAATGTTCAAGAGCTGACACAAACCAACAAAGGCCAGAAAATGCATCTCGGAGGTTGACTGCAAGGCCAGGCGAGAACGCTTGGGCGGGAGGGGGTTGACATCAAAGACTTGAGTTAATGACAATGCCAACCTGAACTGTGAATTCTCCTGCCTTGTGCCCAAGTGTGTCACCACTGTAATGCGTTGTAATGTGAGTTTGGGCAATTAACGCCCAGAGGTAGTGATGCTTCCAGACGGGATGCCCTTTGGTTCTGCCGACATGCATGCAAGTGGATTTTTGGAGGGAGCAGGGGATGGGGGAGATCTTCGGACAGGAAGGAAGACTGTGCATGAGTGATTTTACTTGGCTTTTACAATGGTGGCTAAATACATTTGAGAAGTGGGGGGTGGAAAGAACTTAGCAGGCAAGAGCACAAAGCACTTGCTACCTCAGCGAGGGACAAATGCAACATGACTGATGTATTTCAGGATAAGAAGTGCAGGTAAAGAGGCCTTGACGCTGGCTGAAGTGCAGACTGAGCAGCTTAGCTGGGAGTGGAAGAGGGTGCGTGCAAGAGGCCAGCTTCGATCTGCGTCCCTGGCCGAGGGTACCGCAGAGCTCTGCTCTAGGGAGGACAGTCTCAGCACACGGGCAGTGGCAGGCTGGCAGTCTGCTCCTCTGGGGCGACAGCAGTGAGGACCCACAGATCAGACCTGATTTTTTGAGAGCTGGGAGCACTTCTTTTTAAAGCTCAAAATCCTTCTGCAAGGGACTGGAACAGATATTTGTACACCCACGTTCACAGCAGTACTATTCACAATAGCCGAAAGGCAGCGGCAGCCCAAATGTCCACCAGCAGAGGACGGGATAAACAGAATGTGGCATACACATATAACGGATTTTATTCAGCCTTAGAAAGGAAAGGAGTTTCGACACCTGCTACCACAGAGGTGAACCTCGAGGACATTATGCTAAGTGAAATAAACCAGTTGCAGAAAGACAAATATGGTATGATTCCACTTTTCCGAAGGACCTGGAGTAGTCGAACCCGTAGATACAGGAAACAGAATAGTGGTTGCCAGGGGCTGGGGAGAGGGGTGAGGGGGGAAGAGTTTCCAATTGGAAAGGTGAAAAAGTTCTAGAGAGGGGTGGTGGTGATGATTGCACAACAGTGTACTTAATGTCACTGAATTACACACTAAAAATGGTTAAAATGATAAATTTTATGTTATATATATTTTACCACAATTAAAAAAAAATCCCCCCTGCAACAACAGCACAATAAACACATTGTTTCTCTGCAGGATGTCTGTTGATCTTCACCTTGGAAGTCAGAGTGGCAAGTGCCACTCACAAGCTTGGACAAGGAGACTCACCAGGACCTCGGTTCTCAGGCCATTCTACTCAGCTCCCCTGCCCGGGCCCCAAAGCGGGCCGCTGGAGCTACATGTTCCAGGCAGGTGTTCAGTTCTCTGCAGTCACTTAGAGGTGTAACGCAATGTGTGCAATAAACAATTGAGCATTTACAGAGTTTATTAATTTGGAAAGGTCATTAGCGCTCACAGCTTCTCTGAGTGACAGTGAATAAATAAATAGCATGGGTAAGTTTTTTCGGTGTCCTGGATTTATTTTTTTCTTGGAATGTGCTGTAAGTCTCAAACAATAGTGTTAACAGTAAAAAAAAGAAAAAAAAAATCCAGGCCTGGAGGACAGGAGGAGCTCTAGATAAGCCTGGTTCCCCTCAGTCTGCAAAACAAAGGTCCTTCCAATTTAAAAAAATAAATAAAATTATGGTTCAAGGTGAAACTGTGAAGTTAGCTGGCAACCCTCCAAGCTAGCATTTACTGTCTCTTCCCTCTCCCCAACTCTACCAGGTGCTGTGTACCCCTTCCCCTCTGGATAGACAAGGCCTGAGTTCATGCTCCCACAACCAGGACAAGGTTCTTAATCATTTCAGGTGCCTTCCCAGACCCTGACCTGAGTGCTCACAAACCTGCCCACCTTGCTCTCATTAGACCATTAAGGAATACTCAAGACTAATGACTTGTTTCCTCAAATCTCCAAAAATGGCTGCAAAGGGGCAGAAGGGCTCCTCCTGCGCCCTCTCCCCAGTACTTGGCTCTGTGACCAGCCGGCGCTGCCTATCAAGGGCTGGCTTCTGCAGGACAGGTGTTCCTGGTGCTCCCCTGCAGGTGAGAAATGGAGGTAGCATTCAAGCCAAGGAGTAAGAGGGGCTCTGGCTCCAGCCTGCTGCCACGGGCAGAAACACTTGGTCCTTGAACCAGCCAAGGCTTTTTCCAACATCCCCCTGTTTCCCCATCACTGTTCCCTCTCCTCTCTGCCTTGGATGCAGGCCAACACTGGGAAGGTGGGGGCACCTGTGTGGCTGCAGACACCCCTGCCCCCACCTCCAGATGGCCCGGGGCTGCCAGTAGCAAGAAAGAGACTCAGTGTGAATCAAAAGTAGTTGAATAACAACATTAATACTCACATTAACATTAGCAGTAATATTAACATTAACTAACACTGGTGAGATGCTTTGTGATTAAGAAAGCATTTTCCTACATGCCGGTCAGGCAGGTAGGACAGATTCAACACACACATCGAGCACACGCTGTGTCCCAGAGCCTCTGCTGCCTGCTGGGGATGCAGACGTGAAAGGTGTGTTTCCCGCCTGCAGACCCCTTGCCGGAGGGTTTACAGACAAGGTGATGGAGGTGCAGGGAGCTGCGCGACATTCTCAGAGACATCCAGCTGGCGGGCGCCAGAACAGCGCTGGAGCCAAGCCCTGGGACTCAGGAAACTTTCCCAACTGCACCTACGTGGCCTGTGAGTTTAGTATGAAATTGAGTCTGCACAATGTCATCCAGAAGGGACAAGCCACTTGGCAGGTGATTCGGGGACAGTGGTTTGGAGTCATTTATGCCTAGAATGAAAGAAAGTCTGTGGGTGTCAGACCCACAGAAAGAAAGTCTGTGGGTGTCTGCAGGGCACAGCGCAGACCCTACCGCAGACGTCGCCTGGGCACCCGTGGCCTTTTGCCCATTGCTGAAGCCCCCTCCCCTCAGCGGCCTTTGTAGAGAGGCTTGAGAGCTGATGCAAATTCGTGATGTCTTTTTCTTTTCTTTTTTTTAAATCTGCAATAACCTTTCTGTTCTAGGAACTGGCACAAGAGTCAATGAGCATGTGACAGAAAATTGGTATTGTTCTTTTCAGAGCCTCTATTGGCTTTTTGGGGAAAACACAAGTTCCCTGCTTAGAGGAGTCCTACGATTCCCTCTCTTTGCAACCAAGGGCACCCGAGCCCAGCCAGGGCAAATGCCCGGCCCCCGCCACACCACAGACAAGACCAGAACCCGGGGCCCCCGACTCACCCCAGGGCCTGCACACGCCCTCCCTAGGCACGCCCAAAGGCAGGAGGGTAGGGTCAGCCTGTGTCCTGTTTCTATGAGCCCCGTGGCACTTAGAAGTAGCTGAGCACATGGCAGCCCCTCAGCAGCCGTCTGTGGCTGGGACCCGGGCTTTCACGCTGGACAGTGGCCACAGCACATACCCCCAGGAACAAGACGGAGGGGCAGAGGCCATAAAAGGTTTCCTCAGAGGACAGCCAGATCACAGTTCCTGTGGCAGGGTCTGTGGCTCCCAGGGGGCCATAATGCCTGATGATTGGGAGCTAGACTGGCCCTGCCATTGGCCAGCTGTGTGACACGGGGCAAGTGACTTAACCTGTCTCTACATCAGATTTTTACCAGCCAAAGGGACATGATAATGGTACCTACCTCCTACCTCACAGGGCTGTGGCAAGGACTAAATAAGGAAATGAAGAGAAACACTTGGTGCGGGCCCTCAGGCGGGGTCAGCAAGCCTGGCTTTTCCCTGGGAGGCAGCAACAGGAGGGGGACACCCCCTGCTGTGCTCACTGCACAGGGCTGGCAATTAGATGAGAGGTGACAACGTTCCTGTGGAAAGCACTTCCAGGGCTATCGGCAGCCCAGCCCTGGGTGAGAAGAGGCCTGGTGTGCTGAACTGTCACAGCCGGCAGGCCACCCCCCGCCTGGGGGGGTCTGGGGGTTGGTCGGCCGGGGGTCTGTGCTGACGGGGAGGCAGTGGATGCTCCTCCCAGGACGCTTTAGAGGCTACGTTCGGTAGGTTGCACTTTGCTTTACGTCTAATATTAAAATCAACTACCCTGGGAATGCAAGATGGGACTGCCACTGTGGAAAACAGTTTGCCAATCCCTTCCAAAGCGAAACCCTGGCTCACCACACAATCCGGCAATCACACTCTCAGGCATTTACCCAAATGATCTGACAACGTCTATCCTCACCAAAACCTGCACACAAATGCTTATAGCAGCTGTATGCATAACTGCCACAACCAGAAGCAACTGAGATGTCCTTTGGTAGGTGAATGGATAAACAAACCGTGGTGCATTCAGACAACAGAGTACTATTTAGCAATAAAAAGAAATGAGCTATCAAGCCAGGAAAGATATGAAGGAAACTTAAATGCACATTACTACAACAGATGAAAGAAGGGG